AAAATCCTGACTCACCAGATATTCCCGAAAAATTATCCGACTGGCAAACTACTTTAAAAGCAGTGAACCCTTTATTAACTGAAAGCATAATCACCGAAGCCAAGAAAAAAGATTTTGAAAAATATCCCCACTTTAAGCAAGTAGCCGCAGTTAAAACTTGGCTCGAAAAAGTCTTAGCAAGCGATAAAAAACTAAAAGCGGACTTTAAAAGCAGGCTAACTACTGCCGATGCCGAAATAACTGATTTAGCCTCCGCCTTTACTAAATTAGAAGCTAAGCCACTGATTACTCTTATTAGCCGATACGAATATGATAATTTACCCGATAGCGGCGAAAGCGAAGATAAAAAACAAAAGACCCAAACCGAACGGAGAATAAAAGTATTGTTAAACAAAACGGCTAGTGATACGCTCAGCGAGGAAGAACTTAATACTGCTTTATTTGAAGTTGCCGCCGGCCACAAAACCTTATCAACTAAGTATTACAAGGCGGATTTAAGCGAAATAACCCCCCAAGAAAACCCCCCTAATGAAAATAACCAACAAAGTTGGCTTCGAGCCGACAATTGGCAAGTCTGAGTGGTATTCTTAGGAATACCCTTACTAATTGGAGGATTTTTAGCATTTATTTGCTGAAAGCAACTAACTGACTGATGAAATGGTCCCATGGAAGACCCAACCGCTGATGAAGCCGAAAAAGAGGAAAGTACTTTTTAATCCTTAACCAAATTCTGCCGACTGATAACAGTTGGTCGGCGGAAACTTTATGGGTCGCAAGACCCACCAAAATTATTTATGTTTATACCATCCCTAATTTTAGCCTCTATCCCTAAAAAGGTAGAGGTTTTTACGGGGAAAAAATTAAAAAAATTATGTCCGAACTATCAATTAAAACCACTCTCACCGATATTGAACCCAAATTAGACAAAAATGGCAACCCCTATTATAAATTAAGCCTAACTGGTTCACCCCACTATTTCTATGCTTTTGCTACCGATTATAATTTAAAAGATAGCACTTTAAAAGCCTTAAAAGAGACTCCGGAAGAATTAGTTAACCGCTCCGTCCGGCTTATTTATAGCGAAGTTGCTAATAAAGATAATTCAGGAAAATTTTTCAAAGTTAAAAATATTGAATATGAAACCAACTAAACCCTTAACTGCCCGCGAGCAAGTCCAAGTAGA